CACCTACCGGCTGATTAGATGTTTGTTCATCAGATGAATGAGCTACAGCTTATTAATGTTTGACAGCACCTGCTGGCTGTCTGAATGTGAGATCCTGCTCACAGATCGCTTGACAGCACTGCTCACTCCATCACTTAAACACAACACCACTGACACAAACATGCATGGACGATGTGGATCTGGATTAATGAGCACAGGCGTGAGTATATTCAGAACAGTGACTGTGGCGTCTGATGGGTTTGTGTGATTGACGGGGGGCCGGAGAAGACCCGGCGGAAGCCCCAGTCCTCACACTTGAGAACTCCGGCAGATGCTCTGCCTATTTTGGTCTCTTATCACAGCGAGCGTGAGGCCCAGAGCAGAAGAAGAACACCGTCTGCCTTACACAGTCTACAGAGACGGGACAGTTCACACACAAACATCCTGTACTCGCCCTCATGCTGATATTTGGAGTGAAGATCTTGTTGGACAGAAACTGCTAAAGCATTCTTCAAAGTGTCTTCTTTTGTGCTGAACAGGTCTGCACAGCTCTAAGAGATCTCTGTCTTTAATAATGTGCCAGAGCTCATATTACTGAGAGTCTACAGCTGATACTGCGCTTTCATCACTTTTATTCTGAACAGCTGTTTCATCATAGACTTTGATATGCAGTCAGTCAGTCATCCTCCTGACTGTCACAACCAAGACATGTGTCTCCTACAAGAGCAGCTTCATGAATACTTGATAACCATAGAACATCACTGTGAACGTCTCATTTTAAGTAAATTAGGTAATTAAGGGAATACCTCTTCCACTCCCTTACTCCCAGTAGTGTGTGTGTGTACTGGTATATATTTACATTACATTTAGTCCTTTAGCAGACGCTTTTATCCAAAGCGACTTACCAAATGAGGACAACAGAAGCAATCAGAACCAACAAAAGAGCAATGATATGCAAGTGCTATAACAAGTCTCAGTTAGCTTAATGCAGTACACGTAGCAAGTTTTTTTTAATCAACATACTGCCAACAACATTTCAAATAGAGTTTCATGTTTGCAGTATGTTTTATGATGACCGTGATAAAGGCCACAAGCTGAAAAAAGCATTGGTCTAACAAAAGTTGTTCTAAAGTTGTCATTTAAAAAAAAAAAATTCAAGTCTGTGAAAGAAAGCATGCGGGAAAGTTAGTTAAAAGTTATAATTTTTTTAAATATAATTTTATTTTTTACTTTTAGTATAACAGGACTTTTCAGGTTTTGTTTTGAGGTTTGACTTCATTTGAGTTCTTATGTGAAGAGTAGCTGATGCTGGCTGCTTGGCTGGGGCTGAACACTATTTAAAAGAAAATTACAATTATAGAAAGAATAGTTTGAAGTGGAAAGATTTAAATGTTTGACTTGTGGGTATGATATGGGTTGGAACAGGCAATTATTCACTACATTTACATTTAGTCATTTAGCAGACGCTTTTATCCAAAGCGACTTACCAAATGAGGACAACAGAAGCAATCAGAACCAACAAAAGAGCAATGATATGCAAGTGCTATAACAAGTCTCAGTTAGCTTAATGCAGTACACGTAGCAAGTTTTTTTTAATCATATAATAAATAAAAAGAAAACAGATAGAATAGAAAAGGAATAGAGCAAGCTAGTGTTAGTGGCCTTTTTTTGCTTTTGTTAATTGTATAATAAATAAAACGAAAACAAAGATAGAATACAAAAAGATTAGAGAAGCAAGTGTTAGTTTTTTTAAACAAAACAAGCAGTTAGTAAATGAATAGAGTGTAAGTCTAAAAGAGGCAATTTTTAAAAATAAAGAATAGAATTAGAATAGAGAGTGCTAGAGTTAGAGGGTCAATTAAATATGGAAGAAATGTGTTTTTAGCCGATTCCTGAAGATGGCTAAGGATGAGATGGCTGCTGGGATTGAGTTGGGCAGGTCATTCCACCAGGAGGGAACAGTTAATGTAAAAGTCTGTGAAAGTGATTTTGTGCC